TTCCCCCGAACAGCAAACCCGCGTTCGGCGACGTCGACGACGACAGCGATCTCGACCTCGTCGTGGGCGGGCAGGGCGCGAATTTTCCAGGCCTCGTTTACTACGAGAACGTCGGGTCCGCGGCGTTGCCGACCTACGTGGTCGTCTTCGGCACCGATAGCCCCTTCGACGGCGTCGAAGTTGATACTGAAAGCGGACTTTACTACAACGCGCCTGCGCTCGCTGACCTCGACGGCGACGGCGACCTCGACCTCGTCGTGGGCGAATGGGAGGGCCTCCTCTTCTACTACGAGAACGTCGGGTCCGCGGCGTCGCCGAGCTACGTGGTCGTCACCGGCAGCGAGAGGTCCATCGACGACATCGACGTCGGTGACATGAGCGCACCCACGCTCGCCGACGTCGACGACGACGGCGACCTCGACCTCGTCGTGGGCGAATGGGAGGGCCTCCTCTTCTACTACGAGAACGTCGGGTCCGCGGCGTCGCCGAGCTACGTGGTCGTCACCGGCAGCGAGAGGTCCATCGACGGCATCGTCGGTTCCAGCAGCGCGCCCGCGTTCGGCGACCTCGACGACGACGGCGATCTTGACCTCGTCGTGGGCGAACAGCACGGCACCCTCTACTACTACGAGAACGTTGGGAACGCGACGTCGCCGAGCTACGAGGCCGTCGCCGGCACCGCGAGCCCCTTCGACGGCATCGATGTTGGTGAACGCAGCTCGCCCGCTTTCGGCGACGTCGACGGCGACGGCGACCTCGACCTCGTCGTGGGCGAAACCCAAGGCGTCCTCTACTACTACGAGAACGTCGGGTCCCCAGCGTCGCCGCGCTACGCCGACAAGAAGCTCCTTGACGGAAACGGACAGCCGCTGCCGTGCAAGGAGTGCTGCGTCGAGTGCGACGACGCGTGCGAAGGCGGCGTCGAGACGTGCGCGAACTGTCCGAGTCCCCAGGGCGCGCGGGGTCCAGCTCCCATAAACGCGTGCGCTATACGGATTATACGTAGGACCTCTATGCGGGGGCGAATCCAGCGTCCGCAGAGGGTTCCTAGACGCCGATTTTTGGTACGGTACCGGTTTTGGGCTTCGGGCGGCGCCCCATGCCCGAATCGACCACCGTACTTTTTTTTTACCCCCGGCGACGGTGTGCGGACGAAAAATACCACAGCGTAGTTGAGAGGATGGAGCTACCATCTCAGCGCGCTGCGCGCGGTGGACTTGCTGCGCTGCGTGCCTGACCTCACACCCATTCGCGAGGGTCGTTTCTGCGCTCTGGCCAGCGACGAAGTCGAAATTTTCTCCCGCGCTGCGCGCGGGGCGGGTGCGGCGACTCTGTGGCAGCGGCGTCTGCGGCGGCGGCGGCTGCGCGGAGCGGCCTCATTTTCCGGCGAGGGCGCGATCGCTTGCACGCCGTGCGCGAGCGACACGTGCAGCTGCGCCGGTTCTGGACCGCTACGCGCGCTGGATCCCGCCGAATTTTTTCTCCCGCGCTTCGCGCGGCAAGGAGGCGCTCCAGACCAAAACCGGTGCTTGGGCGCTGCGCGGCTTCATGGAGGTGGTCTAGAACATGTCCGAGGAAGCCATGGACTTGCTCTCCGCTATAATCTCCACGCGCGCGCGCGTGACGACGACGACGACGACGACGACGACGACGACGGCCGGCCGGCCGGCCGACCGACTGGGGCCGGGGCCGACGGCGCAACTGGCGTCCGTCGACGCCTCTGGCTTCGGCTCTGCGTCCCCGGGGTAAGACCAGGCGTCCCCGGCGTCGTAGCGGCCGTAAATGTACTTTTCCGGATTTCCGACGATGTTGCTTCTGTTTATGGGAGCTGGACCCCGCGCACGACCTTGGAGACGATGGACCTGAAGAAGAATTTCTGGCGCGCGTCGATCGACGCGACGTCAATCTACGAATGTATCCTCGAAGAGTCGTGCAAGGGCGGAGCCAACAGCTCGTGCGCGCGCGGCCACAAGGGCCCGCTGTGCGGCGCGTGCGAGAAGCACTACTTCTACGACACGGCCGCGAACCGCTGCGTGGACTGCGGCAACAAGATCGAGGCCCGCGGGGACAACATCATCGGGACCGTGCTGGCCGTCCTATTTGTCGTCGCGGCCATCGGCGTCGTGATGCGAAAGTTTGGCCTCTTCACCGTTTTGGGTCATGGGGTCGACGCGATTCGCGAAGTCGTCCAGGGCGAGGCAGTCGAAGATATCGCGAAGGCAAAGCTCGAGGAGCATTACGAAGATGACGAAGACGGAGAAGCCGCCGGCAGCGACACGCAGAGCGCCGACGACAAGGAGTCGTCGGGACGGTCCATGGAGCAGAACGTCATGACGAAAGCGAAGATCGTCATCGCGACGTACCAGATCGCGTGCAGCATCCCGTGGTCGCTCCCGCAAGTACGCTTTCCCGCCATCTTCGAAGAGGCCCTGAAGCTGGGATCCGTCGTGAATCTGAGTTTCATCAGCTTCGCCAAGGCGGAGTGCTTCGGAGATTTCGACTACTTCGACAAGCTCCTCTTCGTGACCCTGCTCCCCGTCGTCTTCGTCATGTTGATCGCGGTCGGATTCGGGCTGCGCTACGCGTGCGTGGATCGGTCGCGGCGGGACGAGATCCTCTCCGGGGCTTCGTATTGGATCCTCTTCACGCTCTACGTCCTCGTGCCTTCGACGTCCGCGTACTGCCTGCGGTATTTCGCGTGCGCCAAGTACGACGGCGGCTACGGCGACGGCGTCAACGTCATGCGCATCGACCCGACGATCAGCTGCGACAGCCCGTCGTACGACGCGTGGCTGCCCTACGTGCTGTTCTCGATCGTCGCCTATCCCGTCGGCGTGCCCCTCGGCTTCGCGTGCCTGCTCTGGCGGCTGCGGCGGCGGCTGAACCCCGACGTGGACCATCTAACGATTCGAACGCCTTCAGGACGGACCATCGGCGAAGCGGGCGCCGACGCGGCGAACCAGGAGGACGAGCACTTCCTCCACGAGGCGCTCGAGCGGCACGCGGAATCGATGGTCCAGTTCCAGAAGCTCGAGGCGCGGGCGAACGACCCGACCCTGGAGAGCGTCCGGTTCCTCTACGAGGAGTTCAAACCGAGCTGCTTCATGTTCATGGTCTACGAGGTCTCCCGCCGCATCTTCCTCACGGGATGCCTGTCCATGTTCGTGCCCGATTCCATCTCCCAGATCGCCATCGGGCTCCTCGGCAGCCTCATCTCCTACCGCGTCTTCAGCCACTACGAGCCCTACGTCGAGGAGGACGACGGGGTCGTCTCGGAGGTGGCGCAGACGGAGCTCGTCCTCGTCTTCTTCTATGCGCTGATGGTCTTCGCGACGGACAATCTCGAGCAGCACGACGGCGTCTTCTCGGGCAAGGTGTTCGCGAGCCTCCTCGTCGTGCTCCTCGCGTCCACGCTTCTCATCGCGCTCTGGCTGATCATCCTCGCGAACTTTAGCGGCGACGACTTGCGCTCCTGCTTCGTGGGATCGCGGCGCGGCCTCCTCGACGTCCGCCGCTCGCTGTCGGGGCTGGTCGCGCCGCGGAGCCCGAAGGACGGCGGCGGGGGGGACGTCCCGGTCGAGACCGGCGCCGTCGAGGCGGAGGCCGTCGCGCGGATCTGAAGTCCCATTTGTGTTGTGCATAAAAACTTGTGTGTTGCTTGTTCACATGGAGGGGGCCACCAGGCAAATGCATGGCGGGCCCAGTTCGGCTGCGGGCACGTGTCGTGGCGATGCCAGTCCGCGGTGACCGGCGACGTCCACCCCCGGCGCCGGGCTGCGGGCGTCTCGTGTGGTCGGCCTTCGATCCACTCGAACTCGACGAGGTCGCATCCGCCGGCGGGCAGCGTGAGCATGAGCGCGATGGAAGTCGAGCAAGAGGCCGGCGCCGAGCGGCAGGCCGGCCATGGGACGCGCGCCATGGACTACGGCGGCCCCGACTTCCGCATGGCCGTCACGCCCCTCGCCCAGAAGCTCGGCGAGTCCGTCGAGGGCCTCGCGGCGCTCGCGAGCGCGCTCGCCGAGGCGAACGTCGCCGTCCTCGGGCCCGGGTCGTCGTACGCCGTCGTCGGCGGCGGGCCGCCGGACATGGCCATGCTCCCGGCGCGGCACCTGCGCGACGCGCGCGACGGCGGCTGCCTCGAGGCCGCGTTCCGCGCGCTCGACGCGGGCGCGCGCGCGGCGCTGAGCGGCGGCGACGCGGCGGCCAAGCACGGCGCGCTCGCGGCCGTCGCGGGCGCCTGGGCCGACGCGGGCCTCTACGCGCCGCCCGCGGTCTGGTTCGACGACGGCGTCGACCCCGCCGTCGCCGCGGAGCTCGGCACCGTCGCCGCGGAGCTCGGCGCGACGCTCGCCAACTCGCTGGCCGAGGCGACGCACGTCGTGCGCCACGACTCGGACGTCGACGACGCGCCCGACGACGGCGCCGAGTACCTGAAGACGCTCGTGGTCGACGCGCGGCGGCGCCTCGCGCTCGTGCACTGGTGGTACCTGCCGGACTCCAGGGACGAGTGGATCCCCCTCGAGCGCGTCGAGGGCGCGGGCGGCGCCATCGCCGACGCGACGGCCTGGAGCCGCCCCGCGGCGGCGGCGAGCCCGCCCTGGCGCGTCTGCGAGCGCTTCCTCCGCGACGCGGCGCGGTTCCGCGAGTTCGGCTCCGAGGCCGACTACGCGCCCGAGGACGACGAGGACGAGGCCGCGGAGCCCGCGGCCAAGGCCGCGCGCAAGTCCGGCGGCGGGTCGAAGAAGAAGCGCAAGCGCGACGGCGACGGCCGCCGCAAGTTCAAGCCGCGGCCGCTGCCCGGCGCGCCGGCGCTACCGCCGAGCCAGCGGCCCGACCGGACCTACGAGGTCGTCAAGGCCGTCATCGACGTCGTCGACACGGAGGACGGCGGCGTCACCGTGAACCTCTCGCACCGCGTCGAGCCGCCGCCCGTCGCCAAGCCCGCGGCCGCGCCCGCGGCCGCGCCCGCGGCGCCGCCGGCGCCCGCGCGCGCGCGCGCGTTCGACCCGGCCAAGGTCACGGACGTCGAGATGGCCTGCTGCCCCGAGTGGTTCTGCGGCGACGCGGCCAAGACGCCCGCGCGCTACCTCGAGACGCGGAACTGGATGATCTCGCAGTACGCGACGAAGCCCCAGCAGCTCCTCACGGCGACGGCGTGCCGCCAGCGTTTAGGCGTCGACGCGGCGTCCGCGCTGCGCCTCTTCGCGTTCCTCGACGCCTGGGGCCTCGTCAACGGCGGCGTGCCGCCGTCCGCGCGCCGCGTGGCCAAGGCGCCCGCGCTCGCGCCGCGGTTCTTCACGGCGGACGCGGCGCCGGCGGCGCCGTGGCCGCGGCGCCGGACGGCGGCGCTCCTCCGGGCCGTGCGCGACCGCGGCGGCGACTTCGCGGCGGCGGCCGCGGACCTGAGCGCCGCGGGCGAACCCGTCGACGCGGCCGAGTGCGCGACGCGCTTCGTGCAGGTGCCGCTCGACGGCGCCGCGGCGCTCCTCGCGAGCGAGGCGCCGCCGCCGGCGCCGCCGGCGCCGGCG